TTCTATATACATATATACGTATGTGTGTTTGGCCAGGTGTCATTTGGCGCAGCGGGTGCTCCACCGAAAATCCCAGCGGGAAATGCAAAACGCTCGCCACTCTTAATGAGCGCCTGGAGAGAGGCACGAGTTTTCCCCCGCATTTCCCGCATTTAATTTCCCGGCTCCGGCTCCGGCTCCGGCTCCTCCTGTTTTCCCCGAGCCTCACGCGATAAACGGGCGTGGCTCGTCAGTTGTTCTTTTATTTTCTGTTTGGTTAACTCCCAACTAATTTTTGGCCTGCACATTTATCAGTTCGCCGCTTCTCTGGTTTCTCCCTTCTGGGTTCTCTCCGCGATTTCCCCAGTTGAAATTTAATATTTTTTCTCCGGCCGGGTAAACAGTAGCCGCTGCTACTCACCTTGACAAGCTGCTGACACCTTGAATGAACTTTAAAAAAAAATGTGAGAGAAAATAACAAAAAAAGGAAAACACGGAGAATTTAAAAAAATTTTAATTGCACTTTAATAGGCTGGCGGCTGCTTTAATATGCCCAATTCCATGGAGCATCGCAGGGGGCTTTAAGAATATCTTGAAATGCATTAATTAGGATAGAGAGCTTCAACCTTAAAAACATTTCAGCTAAAAATAACACGAAATGGAATATTTTGCATTAAATGAAGAGCATTTGCAGAGTGAGTACTTTAATCAGGTCGAGGCTACGGCAATCGCATCGATACTTAAAGTTGCGAAATATCATTTTCCTTAAAGTGCTCATAAAAAAATAAACCTTGTTTTTGGGGTCAGCCAAAATGTAATCACTAGTTTTTTAAAAACAATTTTATTCTTAATTTATTTGAGTGTTTTAAGTGCATCAAAAGAAATTTACACTTTGTAAAGCTGAATTGCAAATATGTATAGGATAATATATGTTGCTATGTTATTTGATTTTATATAGATTTGATTTCATAACATTTAAACATTCAGCATGTTTTTAACGAACTTGCTCTTCCATGATTTTCACTCGTCTTTTCTGAGACTCTTTCTTGGCTAATCAGCTAATCAGACCTCCAATAAAGCTGTTTTTATTTGGCTCATCTGCGAACGGAAATTCCAGGCATAATTCTCTAATTTCTCAACTCAGCGAGCTGTTAATTAATGCAGAAAAGGCAAAACTCCAAACCGAGATGGGCATATACCTGGTCGGAGGCTGGGAGTTATTTTGATATCTGCCAACTGTCTTCTAGACCAGGCTGTGTGGCACACAGACACAGATTTCAAACGAGGCTGCCAATGGGAATGGGAATGGGTTTTGGAAATGGGAATGGGAATGGGAGTGGGAATGGGTATATGAAGGACGGGGGAATGGAGGTGACACAGGGCGCAGGCGCACAGCTGTCTTGGGTCCGAAATCTCAGGTACGGGCCAAAACTCCGGCCATAACATAACATATTGATCTAGTGCCGGGGACTGAAGTGCAAAATCAGATAAGCTTTGGGATTTACGTTTCTGTCTGCTCTGCTCTGCCTTTTCGGATCTTTGGGTTCAGCCGGGGAATTTATGGATTGCGCCTAAATAACTTTATCACACCCCAAGCAGCGGCAGGGATTCCGAAATAAAACTCACCGGAAACGGGAAGGCAACAAAATGTCAGCCAGGGACAACAGGAATTTGGATAGGAACTCGTAAAATATAGATAACGTGTGTCTGCCATTGGCAAACTAATGGGTGTGGCCCTCTCTTCTGACGTCACCAAAGCCAAATTATTTTTTGAAAAAGGTTTTTGCAATATTTCAAGCTAAACTTGAACTGAAGCATGTTTATAAATATAGATTTATTTGATTAAATAAAATATGTATAAAATGTTTCTTATGCACCAAAGCTTATTAGCTCGTTAAATATTTGTTTTAATTAGTAAAATTTTGTATCTAATTGTTAAACATAAGATGTATCTATTACTAATACTCCTCGCAATTTTCAATATAAATTTATTGAAATTTTAAGACTTTCTGACAAATAATAAAACTTTAAGGCTATGACTATTCCGACAAATATTCAATCAATTTTTACTACAAAACTACTAAAATACTACACAAAATCAATACCAAATTCCATAAAAATGCGATCGAAGCCCGTTTAGAATGGTCATATAATTAATTTTATGGCACTCTTAACCGAATCTCGTTACGTATACGAAACATCTTTTCCTTTCACTGACGTTTCGGCAACTCTATAAATAAACAAGAGATCGGTGATCTATGGCTAGCTAACCAGCCTCAACTGAGAGCTCGGTTCCATTCTCTTCGACCGTTCGCAGACAACTTAACCTTATATGGCCCACGATTGACACTTTACAAATTATTCCAAAAATTATTTCAACTCTTTTTGTGCATTGGCTAAACATTTGCCCAATCAATTTTTCACAATTAACTTTCGAAAGGTTTTTGTTTTCATTCTTGTGTTTATTCATCGAAAATACAAATTAACATACGATGAGTTAGGCTGGCGAGCAATTTAAATGGAATTTATATAAATTAGTTTAGGGAACATGTACAAGGCAAAAATCCATGCCATCCCCCCACTGTTTTTATTCAAATTTTTAGCTAATTGGTAAACAATAAAAACAAAAATCGTTTGGTTTTTATGGCCGCAAATAATTGTCAATTTTTTATGGTCTTCAACATAAAGTTGTACAATTTTATGGCCACCGCGAACATGAAAAACTGAAACTAGTTCAACGCCCTGATGTATGCAACGATTTACGTTTTAATTTCCTATAGAGCACAGAGAGTAAACAAAAGCTCTGATACTTCAGTTGGGGATTTCTTTTTGTTCCTACTATATTTAATTAATTTAACGACTACTTGAGAAGTTAGCAACGACATGTTGACTGGATGCCTGGGCCTGTGACATGGAAAACTCATTAAAATGTTTACAGCGCTCAAAAAATCAACAAACAAACAAAACTCGCCTCGGAACTGAGTGAACTAACAAAAGAGAGAGGAGCTGGGAGATACTAGAAGGGAAAACAAAAACTACAAAAAATTGTTTTCATTTAAAATATCAACTTGAAACTACAAAAACTCTAACTTAAAGTTTTGTCAGTTAACTACACACACACACAGCAACTAAGCACACAGATAGAGAGGAAAACTTTGGGAAAAGTTTTCAAATTAAAATGTTCAGCCATTAAATATTTAGCAACGTTTCACGGCCGACAACTAATTTGAATTTAAATTACAATTACAAAATTTCATTGCAATTTAAATGTTTCGCAGTTTAGTACAAATGCATATATTGCATTATCCTGCTTCATTTATAATTCAATATTCCCCGAACCATTGTGTTTGTGCTTATGATTATGATTTTTCATGTTTTCTTTTTTTTGCTCATTTTTTTTTTTTGGCTTTTTTGTGTTCTGCGGTCGTCCGTTTGGTTAGACAACTGTCAGCCAAAACATTTGTCACAATTTAGCATACGAAATAAAATTTGAATAAAATATGTTCCTCTTTCTGTCACACACAGTCAGCATTTTTTAATGACACTCTTGGTTTATGAATTCATAAAATGCATTTTGGTTAACAAAACTTTTGTCTAGTTAAAAATTTGCCACATTATCGCATGAGATACATTTTTGATCATTTTCAGCTCGCTTTTTTCGTGCAATTGCTTGGCCGCGCTTAATTGCTCAACATTAAAATGTCATTCAACCGTTAATTGGCTTTTATATTATATGTAAAGTGTGCTTAAAATAAAATACAGCTATAATTTAAAAGTTATTGCCATACAACAACAACAAATGAGAGGTCGAGATTGGGTCTAAGCCCATTACAAAAGTTGCAGTGATAAGTCGGCTAATGTCTGTTGCTCAAAAAGATTTGTACTTAAAGATAGAACTTCAGAAAGTCTTTCGATATACAAAAATGATCGGCCAATTTGACAACGGAATTGCGTACTAAAAGTTATTTATGGATTATTAATTTTTATTATTATTTCTTCGTTTTTAATTTTGTATATATCTGGGCATTTCTCTCATTTCGCAATTTAAGGTTTGTTCTTCAACCTTGACCACAATTGCAAAATGGGAAATATTCAAGGCAAGAAAGAGTTCAACGCGTGCCTAACCTTTTTAATTGTTTTCGTATAAAAATAACTTCAACCTTCATTACAAGCAAACTTGACTAACAGTTCAAGATCTTTACACTTGGAACCCTTAATTTAAACCTTGGTCTTTGATATCTGGTATCTCGGCGCTTAAAAAATGTTTAATAAATTACCAAAACTAGTTTACAACTACGATTTCGGATAACACGGATTTTACTCTTTTTACGGGCTATGTCCAAAACGGGCTTTCCTCGTGTATTTTTTTAATTTACGAATCAAGAAAGTTAAAATTCAGTCACTACACTGGGCTCCACTCTTTTTTAATGACAATTTAATTTGCCAACTTTTATTTGGGGACTACGACAATAGCCATAAATAAGTCATTAACTGCTTTAAATAGCTTTATTAGCGGTAAATGATTCGACACTCATGCTTGATCTATGTAATGATATTAATTGGATTTGAAATGGATAGTTAAGAGCTCGGAAATAATGTGTGGTTTGTGGAAAATTTGTTGATCAAGTTAAAAAAGATATTAGATTGGAAGAACCTTTACAGAACTTATAAATAAAAAGTTTTTGTGGCTAAAAAATACATTCTAATGTCTGAAAAGTAGTTAAGTTTTTATTTGTGGAATAAGAGTAATCATAATTAACTAAAAGAGTAATGAAAACATTTTTAATGTACGAGCACCACAATGGCTTGAAACATATACCAGGGCAAATCCACAATAGTATTTGTTGTATACAATTGTATCTAAAAGAAACAAAAGATTTATCTGCCAACTATAGAAAGGCATCCCTTTGTTTTTCTGTTGGTAAATGACCGTGCTATCTCGAGTATTATCTGCTCTCTTCAAGGATAAACCCCATTCGAAATGGCAAAGTAAAACCCTAGCCCTCGATTTCGGTACTCACTTATCACATCATGTCCATGACAATCCAAATCCAGGTGATGGTTCATCACCAGCGATGGCTGTAATCCAGTTTGATTGTGGTTGTGATTGTGCAACGGTAGCTGGTGAGCCAAATGGCCACCAATCTCTGCCATTACCATATATTTGGCTGACAGGACACTCGGCGAAGCACACTCGAGATATCTGTGGGTTAGGGATCTTGAGGGCGAGCGCTTTTCGTGCCAGACTCAAGAGGATTCCGGCATTGAGCGGGTATATTTGTAAGGCACTTGTACGGTTATTTATTCCATTAAGTTTTGCGTGAATTACTCGATTTGATCCGGGGCACAAAAACACTGGGTTTACGATATATATTTATTTTTTTATCTGATCTGATCCTATGCACACGCGCGTTTTGTTCGAGGGTTTCAAGAGTCTCGTCTCCACGCATCCGAAAAGGCGACGGCAACGGCAACGAAGCGATGGATTTTCGCGAAACGACGGCTATACTATACTACAATATAGTGGCGATGACGACAACCGACCAACGACGATGTCTGGCTCTGGCGTACAAACATGCTCACTGCACGGAGTTTGCTGAACGACTAAACCGGTCGGCCGTTTGCCGTGCCGTTCGACGTTCGCCTCGGCCAGCCACTCACCCCGAAATGTATCTCCCGCATACTCCTGTGGGCGAGAGCAGTACGACTAGCTGCTCTTTCGAGGGCGCATGCAGCTGCAACCGGTTCCGATGGTCTTGTTTTTCGAATTGCCGACGATATATGTGGGGAGTTCGAAACAGGAACAGGTGTTTTTGTCGCACTCGCTCTCTGAGTTTGCTTTGCCTTTTCAGCTGCACTCTGTCCCTGTTCCGCAGTCGTTGTGTCTCTTTCGTTTCGATTCGGAGGGCCTTTTCTAAATGGCGGCGAAGCGGGCCAATCGGTTGGGCGGAGTGCGCATGACCGACTCCAGCTGTGTGAGATCCACAATCCACAAATGGAGGCAGTCAGCAGCAGGAGCAGGAGCAGTGGCTAGAGGTGGACCCGCAACCTCGTCCTCCACTTGCTGCTGGCCTTTTGTTTTGCCAATTTCGCTTTTGGTTTTCGAAGTTTGTACTACAAAATGGTTGCACTTGTAAGCAAGCGCACCTACCTCGCTTTCACCCTTTTTCTACCCCCATGGAATATTGTTGTAATGCGCTTGTCGAACTTTTCGGCTATAACCCCGCCCTGCCCCGCCCCGCCCCTCTTTGGCAGCCCCTCATGCTACCCCTCACCTGTCCCACCTGCCCGTCTTGACTTGGCTCTTGCGGTCTGAAGGCGTCTCGTTTTTGGGGTGTGCTGCAACATCATAATAATTATTGATCTTTTGATTTTGTCTTCTGGTTTTTCGGGTAACGCTTCAATCTCCGACTCTGTTGCTCCTTCAAGGCCCTGTTGCAATTTTAATGACGCCCCCCATACGGCAATCTATACGTATTTTGGTGTCTGTGTTGCGGTTAGCAGTTCGTTGACTTGGCACCCAGTTGCCAACATTTGCCGGCCGATGATTTGTTGTAATGTCAGTTACCAGTTACCATCTACGACTTTTGGGGTGCACTCAAAAAAGTTTTTGTGGCCACATAAAACACTTAAGTTTCATTTCGAAATAGAAGAATTATCTTTAATTCTAAGCAAATCAAAAAGATATCTTTAATGCTATGAAGGTATTTAATTTGTATTTTCTTTAAACGTAAATTCGGAATACATTTTTTTAAGAAAAAACATTAAATTAAAAATCAATCAGTACCATTCCGTTTTTAAGCAGTACATTTTACACAAAATGAATAAGGAAATAATAAAAATAATAGAGCATTAATTTATAAGAAATTTACAAATTTTCAATAGTAATGGAACTCGTCAGATTAACTTGTCTTATTATTTTTTCGAGTGCCTGTACCCTCTCACTATTTTTGCCATTTTTATTTGACGTAGGGTATTTTGAAGGAGTGGCCCTGCTGGGAATGGGGTCTGGTATGGGGGTTGATGGTTGAGGGGGTGGCGCTGCTACTGCTTCTACTGCTTCTACTGCTGCTACTGCTGCTGCTGTGTTGTATAATCAAGGTCATCGAGCTTCAGTTTCAGTTTGCCCGCTTGCTCCGTTCGGGACACTCATTCATAGCCGTGTCTCAGTTAGCCAGACGCCGACATTAGTACATACTTGTTACAGGGCCACCCCCTGCCTTGCTTAACCCACTGCCACCCTCCACACTACCCCCAATGGCGAGGCTTTCGCGCCATCTCCGTCGCACTCGAACGACAGCTGGGCAGCAGAAACAGCTGACTGATATCTGTGTGTCCGCCTGCGATGGTGTGTATCCGTGTGGGCCAACTGCGGGCGGCTGTGTGGGTGTGCGTTTACTGGCAACATGAATTCAAAATTTAATTAGGTCCCGTCCATTAATTGGGTTAATTGAAATGCCGGTAAAAGTCAACGCTTACGAATTAGGACATGTCACTCAAGCCACTGCGCATCGATACGGTGGAATACCGTTCAACTTGTTGGTTGAAATAGTTTTGTTTCGTTTCGTTTATTTTAATTGAAATTGAGCGGTTGGGTATTTTAGCCATTGCTTAGTGGTGTTTTCTGCTTAAACTCAAGACTGATCTTAACTGACGGACAACTTACAGCCACTTTCTTGGGTTTAATTGAACAAGTTGCAGGCTAAACTTGGCTTTAAATGTCAGTTTAAGTGGATTGCTGCTTCAGGAAAATAAATAAACTAAGTAGTAAATAAAATAAATCAATTGAATAGCAAAGTAATGGCTGTAATTTGAGCTGTAAATTAGAGTGACCATTAGATATATACTTTTCCTATACTTCATCTCCCAATTTATCACTGTATTGGCCTGGTCTATTAAACATTAAAAGCTTTTTGTTCAAGGTAAATACAAAAAATTAATTTTAATTTATATCATGGAAATATTGAAATAAGACTCAAGGTAATAGATACGTTGTATTTTATTATTTTAATGGCAAAACCATTTAGAGCTTGAAATTTATATTTCAATTTATTAGTTATTTACATGATAAGCAGATTAGATTTAGTAAATAAGTAAAATTGAAGGCAAGTAGCTTTATTAAAGTATCGATGTGATAGAGTTGCCTTCTAGTAGAAGTTATTTTTTATGTTGCAAGGCTATGCAAATTATTGAGTTCTTCAAAATAATCCTAGCCTATTCAATGACCCTTATTGAATAACCTCGAACTGTTCTTGAGTTTCACTTTCGTTTTTTCCAATATCTTTCAGAATCATCTGTCGAATTATTTCTTTTCTATTTTGTTTATTTTCAAGCTGAAATGAAAAAGTAAACATAAACACAAATGGGAGCCAAATGACGGTTTAGGCAATTTCCAATCCCCGAAAAACATTTGGCAAAAAAGGAAGTGGGCAGAAATTTATGCAAATAGAAGCAGAAAACTAGGAACACACCTACACAAACAGAGGTGTGGAAATCCTTCGTCCTCTCGCTCCGACTTGTGGCTCATTTAATTTTCGCACTTTGGCGGATCCGGGGCAGATGTAAAATGGAATTCCGAATAAACGTTGCCATGTGTAGTTGCGGTCGGATTACATGGGAGTGGGTGGGCATCTAAGCCTGGGTAAAATCTAATTTCAAATGTCTGCCAACTCTTTGGAACCCCCTCATTTCTCTCCATTTCAAAGAGCTCCTTTGGAGTTTCCCTTTTGCATGACGTAGCAGATTATTTATTGTGTGAGGTTGTTGCTTAACTATTTATGCAGGCCTTCCTGTGTATTTGAGTGCACAGACAGAAATAAAATAAATCTTTATTGAATTCTTACATTATTTCATTTTAAAACTATGTAATTAATTTGAATATAGTAAATGTGTTTTTTGTGTTTGGGTTATGTAGTAAAATTATTTTCAGTTAATTGTAAAGAATGACAGTAGAGAAATGTAATAAACTAAGTAAACATATATATTTTAAATTAAATTTAGAAATTGGGAAACAATTTTTTAATATATACCTTAATCAATATCAGATAGATATTATTTTATATATATTTTTTTTTTAAGTGCAAAGGTGTGTGAGTGTGTTTGTGTCTGGCCTGGTTTGTGTGTCCGCCGCCCCCCATTGTCCTTCGCCACCACCCCCTCGATTTTCGCATGAGCAACAGAACACAACAGGAGAGAAAACAGGAGAGAAACAGGAGCGGAGCACACAACAAAGTCCAGGAGTTGACTTTTATAGAGTCGCATGCACAATAAAGAAGTCTATTATCCTTTTTGCCAGCCAGTTTTGTTGTTGTTGCTGCTGTTGTTGTTGCTGCTGCTGCGACGACGACTCCGGGATCGATATCCATTAGGAAAATTAAAATTGTGGCAGAGGCAATGAACGTAAAAAGCGGAAGCAGCCAACCCGGCCAGCCAGTCAGTCAGGTCCTCAGTCATTCAGTCAGTTAGTCAGTCAGTCATTCAGCCAGCTAGGCCAACGAAGGAATAAAAAAAGGCAACCCAAAGGTCGGCTCTACGTGGAGGAGTTCCTACGGTTCAACTTGGTTCAGTCTATTTCGGTTTGGTTGGGGTTTTGTATGCGCAACGTTAGGTCCTCTAGTTTCCATTTATTGTCAACGTCTTTCTTCGAAGCCAACTTCCGTTTCCGCCATTTTCATATGTTCTCCATCTTTAAGAGAACTTAAGTTCTTAAAAAAAATGTCACAAGTCGAAACATTTTTATAATTTCTCAACAAAATTTTCAAAATTAGAAAAATATTGGCATTACACAAAAATTGTGAAAAGTTTTTTAAAGGTATTGATTTTTTAATACTTAAAGTAAATGTTTATTCTGCCGTAAAGAAAACTATATTTATTATTTTGTTGCATTATTAAAACATTTAGGGTGTTTAATATTTCAATTTCCTGCATAGCCATTTTCATATTTCATATTTTGTTGTCCGTTGTTGATTTTGAATTAAGTTTCCAGGCATTGTACGCCCACACACACTATTTTGTTTGTAGGTGTTGTTGTTGTAGGCGTCATTGTTGCTTTTGCTTTTTTCCGCCTGCCATTTTTGCAGCTGTCATTTGTTTTTCCTCGCTTCGAATTTTGGCATTGTTTTTTTGGCCAACGCGTGCGCGACATTTTCATTGTTAACGCTTTGTTGTTTTAGTTTCTGGCTTTATTGTTGTCATTGCGACTGCTACGGCTGCTGCAGCCGCAGGAAAACTCATCTGTCATTCAAAGTCACAGAGCGTGCAATTTTCTGTTATCATGACTTTTTCAATTCCAATTTTCGGCTGCATCCGCATGCCAGCCAGCCATCTATCTATCGCTCAACTCGCCCATGAATTCCACACAATCGTTGCACATGTTTGCATTTCAATTTGATTGGAAAATATATTTCATTTCTCGGTTTTCTCTGTGCGTCAGAATTCGAATATGCAAAGCCCCGGCCACCAACAAGAGGCCAAACAACCCATCAACCCAACAGTCCAACAACCCAACAACGAACAACGCAGTCAACTGTCAGTCAAGCGCGGCCTGTCGAGCTTTTGGCCTGCAGTTTGTTAAATGTTTAAGCAGAGGCTTTAGTTTTGGGCGG